AGAACGCGGGTGCAGCTGCCCCCGCAGCCCCGCCGAGGGTCCCTCCGCTCTGACCCTTCTCTCCTCTCCCTCCGTCCCCAGCGCTGCTGGTCGCCGTCAGCTCCGCCGTGGACAAGGTCATCGCGCACTTCAGCACCGCACGGAACCTGGTGCAGAAGGTGAGAGCTGGGCCGGGCCGGGCAGGAGGCGGTTTGGGAGTCCCAGGGGTGGGATTCACCCATCCCTCCCAGCACGACCAGGGTCAGGTGCTGCCCTGATCCCTCCCCTCTCCTTGTGCCTCCCCCAGGCCCAGCTGGGGGACAGCCGGCTCAACCCCGACGTGGGGTACCTGCTGCTGCACACGCTCTGCCCCGCGCTCTACGCCTTGGTGGAGGACGGGCTGAAGCCGTTCCAGAAGGATGTCATCACGGGCCAGCGGAAAAATTCCCCCTGGAGTGTGGTGGAAGCCTCCGTGAAGACAGGTGAGGGTGAGGCTGTGGGCATCTCCAGACGCCTGGAATGCTGCTGGGGGATGTGTGCCCTGGGCAGTGACTGTCTGTGCACCCCACAGGCCCCAACACCCGCTCCCTGCACTCCCTGTGCTGGCACGTGGCCGGGCTGGCCCCCCTCAGCAGCACCAGGCAGAAGTTCCATGCCTTTATCCTCGGCCTTCTCAAGTGAGTGTTGGCCCCTCTGGCCCCACTGCCGTGGCAGGCTGGAACTGTCCCAGGGGCTCTAATTTGGGTTCCCTTTGTCTCATTTAGCATTAAACAGCTGGAGTTGTGGATATCTCACCTGCAGAAGAGCCCAGGTAAGGACACAGGGCCTGGGAGCTCCCTCCCCAAGCCCCCTCATCGCTGCCAGGCTGATAATCCCACTCTGGGGTTGGGATACATCCATGCTTGGCTGAAGTTTCCACAGTGGATCAGGGCATTATTTTCTATGGTGCATCTTCAGCACAGAGGGTGCTCTGCCTGATGTGGACAGCATGGCTGGCTCTCGGTGGGGATGTGACAAGGCCTCCTCCACCTGCCTCACCTGTCCCTGTCCCCACAGGTGTGATCTCCGTGCTTTACTCACCCACGGCCTTCTTTGCCCTGAGCCAAGGCCCTCTTCCCCACCTCGCTGATGAACTGCTGCTGCTCATCCAACCCCTCTCGGTGCTGACTTTCCACCTGGACTTGCTCTTTGAACACCATCACCTCTCCGTGGATGTCCGGCCCTTGTCCCGCCGGTTGGAGTCGCCGCTGTCTCCCGGCCGTGGCCCCGTCCCGGTGCGGGGGGCTGTGTCTCTGGGGGGCCTCAGCGGTGCTGCCGGGCACAGCCTGGAGGATGAGACCCCCCCCGATGCTCTGGGCAGGGTGGGGGGCGCAGGGGGCAGCACAAGGGCCCGGTCCCAAGCCACCATGGGTGGGCTGGTCCCTACCCCGCCAGTGGGGGCTGCCCTGCACCAAACCTTCCAGCACGTGCTGCGCTGGGGCGACCGGCTCAGCCGCACCTTGCTGGGGTCTGACACCTCCCCGCAGAGCCACGGGCCTGAGGAGGGCACTGGGGGCACTGGGGCTGGCCTCAGTGGCTGGTGGGGCCAGCTGAGCCAGAGCTCCAGGATTTACACTGCTCCTAGCAAGGAAAAGTTCCCCTTGGTCTGGTGGACGAAGCTGCGGGCGGCTGCGGGGGATCCCAGCCCGGGCCAGGCTGTGCAATCCCAAACTTCCATGAGTGAGCCCAGGGCCACAGAGCTGCAGCTCCTTCAGACCAAAGCTGTCCCCGAATGCTCCGGCCCAAAGCCCAGCAGCAGCAGCACTGACACCTCAGGGACCTCTTCCCCTGAAGACCTGTTCTTGCCCACTGCAACTGGAGCACTCACCAAGCTGGATGATCCCAGTGCTGGAAAGAATCTCCTGGCTGCTTCCCCAGAGCCTCCTGCCAGCAGGACCCAGGCAGCACCTTCTGGCCCAGAGATGGGTAATCCTCCCAGTCCTGACAAGGGCAGCTGGCTGGGCCGGCTCTTTGGAGCCACCAGCCCCTCGTCCAGGAGCTTCCCTCCCAGCCCTGACGCCGTCTTGGCCAGGTCCAGGTAAGTCCCAGCTTGGGCAGGCCGAGGTGGGAAGGGTTTCTGTGCCTGGCTCACCACGGTGGCTTCGTGGGGGTCTCATTCTGCCCCTGGCCCAGGGTCAGTGTCCTGGGATTAGTGCATTGTCCCGAGTGCATCCTGTTACTCAGTGCTGTGGAGCAGCAGGAGCTCGTGGGGAGGCTCCGTGCCGCTTGATGGCTCCTTGTCAGCTCCCAGCTCACCAGAACAGTCTGGGATAAACAGCAGGAAGAGCTCCCAGGCGAGCTGGTGGCTCTCATTGCTCTGTGGCAGGAGACCGTCCCGCTGGCTGTCCCCCAGCCCTCGTGTCCTGGCCGGGGTGGTGAAGGGCCTGGCGTCCGACAGGAGCCGCGCTCCGGAGCAGCCGGACAGGAGCAGCCCCGTCCTGCCCCAGACCCACAGGTGAGGGAGGGCACGGGAGCCAGCAGGGCTGGGAGGGCACAGGAGCCAGCAGGTGAGGGAGGGCACAGGAACCAGCAGGTGAGGGAGGGCACGGGAGCCAGCAGGTGAGGGAGGGCACAGGAACCAGCAGGGCTGGGAGGGCACGGGAGCCAGCAGGGCTGGGAGGGCACAGGAGCCAGCAGGGCTGGGAGCTGCTGCTGCTGCTGCTGCTGCTGGGCTTTTCTGCCTGGGGGAGAACCGGGGCTGCTCTCAGACACGGCCTGGGGGTCGTGCACATCTCTCTCGGGAAAGGCACCGCTGCCCACTTGAGCCACAGCTCCCCTTGCTCTGCTGGGCTTTGGGGGAACCTCTGCCTACCTGGGACCAGCTGTTTTTCCCAGGCGTTTTGGGGATAATTTTTTGCATTTTTTGGCGTGCTTTCCGGATTCGTGGCAGCCTGCTTGGGGCAAGGCGGCTGTGACCCGGCTGTGGCCGGTCAGAACAGCTGTGCCCAAGTGAGCAGGGTGGGCTCATCCCAAACGGTGTTTGGCTGCTTCCCTCTTCCCCATCCTCGCTGGCCCTGACCCCGATATCCCCACACCCTCGGGGCCATCTCTGATGTCCCCACGCCTGTCCTGGGGGCAGAATGGCTCTGTCCGGGGGCTCCCGGTACAGATCCCGCCTCTGCCTGAGGAAATCCCTGGTTCTGCCCAATTCCCTCCCCCCGTGAGCCCTGGGAGCCTCTGGGGGTGCTCGGGGTCCCCGGGGTGGCGCCCGTGCCATGAGATTTGTGGTGCAGGGCGGTTCGGGCGCTGTGTGACCACACGGGCACCGCCGACGGGCACCTGAGCTTCCAGAAAGGAGACATCCTGGAGCTCCTCTCCACTGTGGATGAAGACTGGATCCGCTGCTGCCATGGAAACAGCACCGGCCTCGTTCCTGTTGGTTACACATCCCTGATTTTGTGAGGAGGTGGAAGGGAGCTGAGGAAGCAGCTGAGCTTTGCCGGGATGGGTGCCAGCTCTGGGAGGGGATGTCTCCTGCCAGACCTCCGGGGCTGGCAGCTCCCAGGGGACCCTGCCCTGTGCCTGTCACTGCTGCATGACGCCACCGGCTGCCACCGTCTCCTCCTCCTCTTCCTCCTCCTCATCTCAGGGAGGTTCCTCAGCTGCTGCCCACCCCCGTGCAGGGCAGGGATGGGTCGTGTCCCTGTGTCTGTCCCTTCCCGGCCCTCACACTGCCCCGTGTCACCGTGTCCTGCCACCGCTGCCACCTCCCCGAGCCCTGCTCAGCACTCTGTACATAGAGTAACCACAGGAATGAGCTTGTTCCACCGGGAAAAATACTGGAAATAAAGGTTGTGACTCACCTGTGTGGATGGGCACGGATGGGGATGGGATGGGATGGGATGGGATGGGATGGGATGGGATGGGAGCTCCAGGGGGATCAGCCTGGCTGGGGATGTGTTGGAATCAGCTCCAGCAGAAGGTGCCTGAGCTCCTCCACAGCGTGGGAGAGGCGGCTGCAGCCTCCCAGAGCCAGGAATATCCCTGGAGAAGCTTCCACAGGAGCTGTGCAGCGCTGGGAACAGCCCAGGTCACTGCTTTAGTTATTTATTTAACTCCAACTAATCTTTCCACCACCCAGAGCACGGCAGTAGGGGCTAAACAGCTCCAAGTTTTTCACGTTTTTGTCATTGCAGTGTTTTCATCCCAGAATTTACATTTCATGTTGGACTCCCCAGTGACAGAAAGGAGTGTCCTGGGCCTCTGCTGCCTGCCATGGCCAAGAGCCACATTTCACCCTTCTGATTTCCCATTTGGGTGGCAAAAAGCTGCTGTGTCATCCCCTGGGCCAGCCCCTCTGCCAGGGTAAAGCTGCTCTCCTTTCACTCTGCTCTCATTTTCACTTCTCTCTCTGGAATTTTTATTCTCAGACAAGTGACGTTATATCCTAATTGGAATGTTCCTTGGCTTGCCTTAGAGAGGTTTGATTGGATTCTGCAGCTGCTTCTGGACTTTGAAATGGGGTCATGCCAGGAGGGGAGGAAGTCAGGTGGTTCTTCTGTTTATTTATTTAATAAACAGCCCTCCAAGCCTCTAAAAGGAGTGTGGGAGGGGTCAAGCCTGGCATTTTCATGATCAGAGAGTCAGACTGGGAAACCAAACCTTCCTGGGCAGCCCCTGCCAAGCCCTGACCCCTGACCCCCTTTCCATGGGGAAATTCCTGCTGCTCTCCACCCTGAGCCTCCCCTGGCCCAGCCTGAGGCCGTTCCCTGTTCTCCTGTCGCTGTTCCCTGGGAGAAATCCCGACCCCCCCGGCTGGCAGGGGCTTGTGCAGAGCCAGAAATTCCCCCTGAGCCTCCTTTGCTCCAGCCTGAGCCCCTTTCCCAGATCCTTCAGCCTCTCCTGGTGCTCCAGCCCCTTCCCAGCTCCGTTCCCTGCCCTGGACACGCTCCTGCTCCTCAATCTCTTCTCATCAAAACCAACCGCAGGGTCTGAGGTCCCTCAGCAGAGGCAGCGAAGGGCACTGGGGTCACTGCCCTGCTCCAGCCACTCTGGGACTGCTCCAGGCCAGGGGCCATCAGCCTCTTCCCCACCTGGGCACATCTGGACACATCTGGGCACACCTGGGCACACCCGAGCACACCTGGACATCTGGGCACACCTGGGCATACCTGCACACACCTGGACATACCTTAGCACATCTGGTCACACCTGGGCATACCTGCACACACCTGGGCAGACCTGGACACACCTGAGCACACTGAGCACACTTGGGCACACCTGGACACATCTGAGCACACCTGGACACACCTGAACACATCTGGTTCACGTCCAGCTGCTGCCCCCAGCACCCCCAGGGCCTTTCCAGCCGCTTTTCCCCGAGCCTGGAGGCTTTGCTGTGACCCAGGGGCAGCTCCCAGCACTCGCTGACCCTCCCCCTGTGGATCCCCTGGATCTCATGGATCCAGGCAGGATTCTCCTGCCCTCTGGCACCAAAGAAAACCCCCCGAGCCAGCCGTAGGAAAAGATTTTCCATTTAATACTAGACTCTCAGGATTGAGATGCAGGCTTTTTATGCAATTACATCCAATGTTAAAATTGGTAATACATAATTTACAAAGATTAACATCAAAACAATGATCTATTTAGATATGCTTTGTAAAAAGGAAATATATTAGCAGCATTTATTTTCAGCAATCACACAGCCTACACCCATGCAGACTAAGGTTCAGCTCTATTTGCAGTAACGTAGTGCTTCCTGACTCCGGCGGCGATCCTGGGGACACACGGGTCTGCTCAGTATTATAAAATAACCAAAAAAATAAAAAAAGTCATTAATTTCTACACCAGTAAGAAAAAACAATTCTTTGCACTTACCTAACATTTGATTGTCTAAAAAACATTTTGTTTAGTCTTTCAACAAAAGAAAGATAAAATGACAGAGCTAGTGTCTCGCTTCTGTACGCACTTTATTTTTTTTTATTTTTTTTTTTAAAAACTTTTTAGTGTTTAACACCATTTGAGACAATGATTTCTGTTTGAAACTAAATGAGACAACTCGAGGGCTTGGACATGCGATATTCCTACTACACGCACGAGTATTTTATACTCAGGGTTCCTGGTACTGTACAGTGCTTCTCTACAGTAAGAAAATATTCCAAACTATTTTCTTATTTCATTTTTTTTTTTAATAAAATATTTTTTTTTTTTTCTCAAAGGGTTTTTTTCCTTTCTTTTTTTTTTTTTGTGTTTTTTTGTTTTGTTTTCTCTTTTTAAATCAACACATAAAAGTTAATGGAATGAGTCATGTTCCACTAAGAGTAAAATAATTATAATAATAACAAGAATGTACATTAGGACGAGCTTGGTCCATAAAAAGGAACATGTAACTACGGTATTGCTTTACATCCACGCAGCAGATATATACAACTTGGCACATTAAAAACTGGATTTCTTATAAGAACACCTAAAACAGGACTGGATATGCATGTCTGAGACAGGAAAGCAAAGCCACCGTCCGGGGGCAGCGGGGGCCGCCGGGCCCGGCCCGGGGCTGTCGGGACAATCGCGATAATCGCGATAGGGGCGGGGCCGGCGGG